TCAGCATGCTAGGTTGCGTAGAGAACTGTTTACACAACCCACAGACACCATTGGGAGTATAGTCTAATCTTTAAGTGATTGATGTTTTTCACTTGAAAAATACATTTTATATACAGTATTTTATATATACATTTATATATAGATATATATACACAGTATATACATTTTATTTTTACTATAATCATATGCATGATGTTTGGTTGGCAGGTTCAGTGCACTTTTTGTGATTTAGATATTTTTACATTATTTGTAGTTTTTGTATTTATTTGATAGTGCGGTGCAGTGTAGACAGTACATTCTAAACTTGCAGATTTTTGCTTCCTCCACTATTTAATACAAGTTGATCAAGTAGTGCACTGACTCGAAAAGAAGAATATACTTCTACACCTATACTTCACAGCTGCAGGTTATTATTATTATTGGTATGAAGATACATCATGAACTTTGGATCTATCTATCCATTTATCTATTGACTGTGCCTATATTCCTATTACTTTCCCATACAGCATTAAGACTTGTCTTCTTGTTCTTGTTGCCTCCTTAGAGGTAGACTGAACACCTGGAGTAGGAATATTCCTGTGGGGTAATTTGACAATTAGATTGTTAATTAAACATGTACTAAAAGTGTTCTGTTTTTACATAGGCTAACAAGTAGATTTATGTTTCATGAATAAAACCTTTTTTTAGTAATGAGTCATCTTAACCTGTCTTTTTGACCGTGGTGGATTAATCATTTCTGAAAACTTTACAGTTGTCCACTGTGAGCAGGCACATCTCTATATGTACACTTGGAAAGTTATTTTCCACACTTTGTAACTCTTTTCCTATGACTCCATTATTTTTTACTGGAACCCAACAAATTGGGTAGTTTGTATTAAAAAATGGCAGCCACTGGTATGACCTGATAAATTAACAGTTCAATTTAAAGGCAGCCAAGAAATAACAATATCTGCAAGACTTCTTTATAAGCAGCAGCACTGCAAACACTTAAGTCTTTTATGGGCCAGCAAGCCATGAGAAGCACTTTAATGACATTTTAAAGCCAAAGCGCACAATCTGCTTGCACTTAAGCCGACTGGATCCCCAATTAGTTAATTATCTTTCAGAGATAGCACGCAATACAGTACATCAGCAAATGTCGAATATTTTATAAAAGAAACTGGGCCAAGCCATTCAAATGAATATGACATTTGAGACTAAACATTACGAGATTAAGTCTAGAGTCTGCTGTCTGTAAGTTTGTTCAAGTATGGCAAAGTTATTTATCAGCTTGCCAGTTAAAACTCAAATTTGTAAGGTCTGGGATTTGGAGGTAAATAGCGCTGCTTATTTCAACCCAGGCATCCAGAACTACAGCTACTTCTCTAAGACCTTGAAATATAGAACATTATGTGGGCTAAAAGGAAATGAATGATCTCATAAGGCATGCTGTAAAATATGATACAACACAATAAACATGGTTTATATTTTGTAATATCATTTTTATTATATATAGATTCCAAATCCAGTTAAAGTAGAAATATGCTTATTTTGTGTTTGCAACTTTCAGTGGTTAATCAATACAAAAAGGGGGTTAAATCAACAGGGAAATTAGCATTATTATTATCATCCATTGTGTGCTATTCAGTAACAATTTTACAATTCTCAGGTGAAATCAGTGGCTTTCTGATTATGTTATTTTCAATTGTACTTCTTAGACAGAACATTTAATGATGGGGAAAATGATCACAAATAATTGAAAATCAGCGGTAATATACCTATCTGTGTAACATACTCTAATCAT